TATTATTATTATTATTATTATTATTATTATTATTATTATTATTATTATTATTATTATTTTTATTATTTTTATTTTTATTATTTCTGCTTTTATTATTTCGATGAATCGATTGATCAAAATGATTATCTCCTGTTCGTTTCGATTGTTGCATGTCGAGGAGGAAGATTTGTCGAAGGATTCTATAATATCTATTTCGAATATGATTAATTTTAGATGTTTAATTACGAATTAGCGAAGGAAAGAGAGAACGGCGATCGATGGTTCATTAATTAAGCTCGATAAATTCATTCGAGAAGATTTGACTTTAATTGGGAACTCGTAATTGCGGAAAATTGGATAAATCTAGATTTTGGATAGGTTTTCTTTGTTATCGATATAACGTTGATTCAATCTTTATCATCTGTGCCCCGTCTGTTTAAAATCAATTACAATCTCTTTCTACTTTGACAATTCTGATAACAATTCGATATTGATGTATCAATTGATAGAGTATGAACAAAGTATGTATCGTTATCGAAACGTTCTCTCTTGTTTCCATCGATAATTTATGGAAACAGTACGCTATTGGATCGTAAACCAGACTTGGTAGCTTACGATAGAGCTTAAATTGTAAGATAAATAATGTCAGAACATCATCATAACTGATGATATTTTTCATAAATGGCTGCGATTTCCTTCTTCTTCGATGTAATTAATTACTATAAATTCAATGGAATTATTCTATAGAATCCAAGTCTTTAAATAAATTCATCTCTTACCATTTCACATTAAAAGTTTACAATTACGGTGTAGTACATATACGTAATTTTTCTAGTTTAAATAAATTTTATTTCTGACAAATCCACTATATCATAATTCAAAAGGCGTTGAAAGCATACATCTAATCTCCGCCAATAATTTTTCTCTTCGTTTTGTTTATCGACTCGAACAATTTTCATAAATTTTATTTTATTACTAAACTCGCTGCACCACGATTCGAACACGGCGTTGAAAACACGTATACGTTCAATGGCAATTAATCTAACCATCCTAATAATTTTCCTCGAATAATTTTCATAAATCTTAATTTCAATATTTCAACGACTGGAAGCGTAGTTCAAACCGTGCATATATGTGTATAACATAAATAATATTTCTCCTCGTTTTATTTTGCACAAGACACAATTTTTTTTTTAATAAACTCACCGTGAAACAAATTGAATTAACGTTAACCATATTCCCCTTTTCGCTAACAATTCGTTCCTCAACAAGAAAGTATCGATCTCGCCTCTCACTGAATTCCAATTTTCACCACAGTTTTATTTTTCAACACCTCGCGACGTAAGGGTGAAAGCGCACAGTCGCTTATCGAAGGAAAAATCCGCCATTGGTCAACCAACTCCCCCAATAACGGCGAACGTGTTAATATTTCCCGCGGTTCGCCCATAAATCCTTCGAGTCGAAGGCTCGGCACGTAGCACGTGGAAATACGATTTTCATTTATGCACGAGTTGCTGCTACACCCCCGACCCTGTCAATCTTGATCCTTTGATCGCGAAATTGATCGCCACGAGAAAGAGTTGCCCTATCGATTCGACGTTAAGAAATATATACCATCGATTCGTCGCGTATCGTTACCTTGTTTTTTTCGAAACGAAGGGGATTCGCTCCACGAATTTGTACGTTTTATGGCGTGTCGGATTGCCTAGGCTGGAGAAATATTGGCCGATCGTTACTTTATTCGTTGTTTTGTCGACTATGATTCGCGCGAAACGATCATTCCAAGCCATTGTTTCTTCGCGATACAACTCAATTTCGTTTATTATAATAAATTATAATATAAATTACAAATCCCTAAGAAATATTTTCCTCACATTCTTCCCTGTTAAATTATGAAACTCGTAATTCGTAAATTCTTCTAATATTCTCGATTATTTTTAAATTCCTCTATTGCTGGTAGAAGTAATTGAAGATATATCGCGATTCTTCGATATTTTTTCGACTATAATGATACAACTCAACCTCGTTTCAATAAATTATAAATCCATGGTAAAAAATATTTCCCTCACATTCTCCTCTCGTTAAATTATGAAAAGCAACTCGTAATTCGTAAATTCTTCTAATATTCTCGATTGAAAATTTCTCCACTATTGCCAAAAATAATATTGGAGGCAATTGCTCGATATTTTTTGACTATGATTCGACGACGATACGACTCAA